AAACACTATCTTTATCATTCGGTCTCGGTCTTTGTTGTACCAACCTAGCCTGAAAACCTTCTCAATGCTATGCTCAGCCCCTTCCATGTCTAGTGCCTTTAGTACTTCATTCACTGCTGCTTTGTCCTTGTCATTCCACTCTGTCCTATTAGAGCCTTCCTGCTCTCTAATACCCTGCTCTTTAATTTTTTAAATTTCCTGCTCTTCTGTGTGTGTGTGTGTGTGTGTGTGTGTGTGTGTGTGTGTGTGTGTGTACTCACCTAGTTGTGTTTGCGGGGGTTGAGCTCTGGCTCTTTGGTCCCGCCTCTTAACAGTCAATCAACAGGTGTACAGATTCATGAGCCTATCGGGCTCTGTCATATCTACACTTGAAACTGTGTATGGAGTCAGCCTCCACCACATCACTTCCTAATGCATTCCATTTGTCAACCACTCTGACACTAAAAAAGTTCTTTCTAATATCTCTGTGGCTCATTTGGGCACTCAGTTTCCACCTGTGTCCCCTTGTGCGTGTTCCCCTTGTATTAAATAGACTGTCTTTATCTACCCTATCAATCCCCTTCAGAATCTTGAATGTGGTGATCATGTCCCCCCTAACTCTTCTGTCTTCCAGCGAAGTGAGGTTTAATTCCCGTAGTCTCTCCTCGTAGCTCATACCGCTCAGCTCGGGTACTAGTCTGGTGGCAAACCTTTGAACCTTTTCCAGTTTAGTCTTATCCTTGACTAGATATGGACTCCATGCTGGGGCTGCATACTCCAGGATTGGCCTGACATATGTGGTATACAAAGTTCTGAATGATTCTTTACACAAGTTTCTGAATGCCGTTCGTATGTTGGCCAGCCTGGCATATGCCGCTGATGTTATCCGCTTGATATGTGCTGCAGGAGACAGGTCTGGCGTGATATCAACCCCCAAGTCTTTTTCCTTCTCTGACTCCTGAAGAATTTCCTCTCCCAGATGATACCTTGTATCTGGCCTCCTGCTCCCTACACCTATCTTCATTACATTACATTTGGTTGGGTTAAACTCTAACAACCATTTGTTCGACCATTCCTTCAGCTTGTCTAGGTCTTCTTGAAGCCTCAAACAGTCCTCTTCTGTTTTAATCCTTCTCATAATTTTAGCATCGTCCGCAAACATTGAGAGAAATGAATCGATACCCTCCGGGAGATCATTTACATATATCAGAAACAAGATAGGACCGAGTACAGAGCCCTGTGGGACTCCACTGGTGACTTCACGCCAATCGGAGGTCTCACCCCTCACCGTAACTCTCTGCTTCCTATTGCTTAGATACTCCCTTATCCACTGGAGCACCTTACCAGCTACACCTGCCTGTCTCTCCAGCTTATGTACCAGCCTCTTATGCGGTACTGTGTCAAAGGCTTTCCGACAATCCAAGAAAATGCAGTCCGCCCAGCCCTCTCTTTCTTGCTTAATCTGTGTCACCTGATCGTAGAATTCTATCAAGCCTGTAAGGCAAGATTTACCCTCCCTGAATCCATGTTGGCGATTTGTCACGAAGTCCCTTCTCTCCAGATGTGTTACCAGGTTTTTTCTCACGATCTTCTCCATCACCTTGCATGGTATACAAGTCAAGGACACTGGCCTGTAGTTCAGTGCCTCTTGTCTGTCGCCCTTTTTGTATATTGGGACCACATTCGCCGTCTTCCATATTTCTGGTAGGTCTCCCGTCTCTAGTGACTTACTATACACTATGGAGAGTGGCAGGCAAAGTGCCTCTGCACACTCTTTCAGTACCCATGGTGAGATCCCATCTGGACCAACAGCCTTTCTAACATCCAGATCCAGCAGGTGTCTCTTGACCTCCTCTCTCGTAATTTCGAACTCCTCCAAGGGCGCATGGTTTACCTCCCTTTCTCCTAGCACAGTGACCTCACCCTGTTCTATTGTGAAGACCTCCTGGAACCTCTTGTTGAGTTCCTCACACACCTCTCTGTCATTCTCTGTATACCTGTCCTCGCCTGTTCTAAGTTTCAATACCTGTTCTTTCCCTTTTGTTTTCCTTCTGATGTGACTGTGGAGTAGCTTTGGTTCGGTCTTGGCTTTGTTTGCTATATCATTTTCAAAATTTTTCTCTGCTTCTCTTCTCACCCTGACGTACTCATTCCTGGTTCTCTGGTATCTCTCTCTGCTTTCTGGTGTTTTGTTATTCCGGAAGTTCCTCCACGCCTTTTTGTTCAGTTTCTTCGCTTCCATACATGCCCTATTATACCATATACATGTGTGTGTGTGTGTGTGTGTGTGTGTGTGTGTGTGTATGAGTGTGTGTGTGTGTGTGTGTGAGTGTCTGTTATCATGTCTCTCTCTGTTTTCCAGGGACGTGAGGCTGAACTCCTTTAGCCTTTCCTCGTAGCTCATTCCTCTCAGTTCCGGGACGAGCCTGGTGTCATACCGCTGAATCTTCTCTAGCTTTGTCTTGTGTTTAACTAGGTATGGACTCCAGGCTGGAGCTGCATACTCCAGGATTGGTCTTACATAAGTGGTATACTGGGTCCTGAACGATTCCGTACACAAATTTCTAAAGGTAGTTCTTATGTTGGCCAACCTAGCATATGCCGCTGATGATATTCTTTTGATGTGGGCCTCTGGGGACAGGTTCGGTGTGATATCAACCCCCCCCCCCCCCCAGATCTTTCTCTCTATTTGACTCTTGCAGGATTTCACCTCCCAGATGGTATCTTGTGTTCAGCCTCCTGCTCCCTTCGTCTAATTTCATTATTTTACACTTTCCTAAGTTGAACTTTAGCAGCCATTTTCTAGATCATTCCTCCAGTATGTCCAGGTCATCCTGTAGTCTCTGTCTATCTTCATCTGTCTTGATTCTTCTCGTAATTTTTGCATCATCAGCAAACATTGAGAGGAATGAGTCTATACCCTCCGGAAGATCGTTTATATATATTAGAAACAGGATGGGTCCAAGTACTGAGCCCTGTGGGACTCCGCTGGTGACATCTCGCCACTCTGATGTCTTCCCCCTCACCATTACTCGCTGTTTCCTGTTGCTTAAGTACTCCCTTATCCACTGGAGCACCTTCCCTTTTACTCCTGACTGATTCTCCAACTTTTTTAACAGCCTTTTATGGGGTACTGTGTCAAAGGCTTTCTGGCAGTCCAGGAAAATGCAGTCTGCCCACCCTTCTCTTTCCTGCCTAATTTTTGTTGCCTAGTCATAGAATTCTAATAAACCTGTGAGGCACGATTTACCATATGCAGGCGATGAGTCACAATAACGTGGCTGAAGTATGATGACCAGACCACACACTAGAAATTGAAGAGACGACGACGTTTCGGTCCGTCCTGGACCATTCTCAAGTCGAAACGTCGTCGTCTCTTCAATTTCTAGTGTGTGGTCTGGTCATCACGATTTACCATCTCTGAACCCATGTTGGTGGTGTGTTACAAAGCTATTTCCCTCCAGATGCTCTACGAGCCTTTTCCTCACGATCTTCTCCATCACCTTGTATGGTATACAAGTTAAGGAAACTGGCCTGTAATTCAGTGCCTCTTGCCTGTCACCCTTCTTGTATATTGGGACCACGTTAGCTGTCTTCCAACTTTCTGGTAGGTCTCCTGTTTCCAGTGACCTGTTATACACCAGAGTGGCACACTTAGTGCTTCTGCCCCTTCCTTTAGTATCCATGGTGAGATTCTGTCAGGCCCAACAGCCTTTGTCACACCCAGCTCCAACAGACACCTTTTGACCTCATCACTGGTGAGGTCAAATTCCTCCAAGGTTGCTTGGTTTGCCTCCTCCTCATGTGTGTGTGTGTGTGTGTGTGTATGTGTGTGTGTGTGTGTGTGTGTGTGTGTGTGTGTACTCACCTATTTGTGCTTGCAGGATCGAGCATTCACTCTTGGATCAATGTGTGTGTGTGTGTGTGTGTGTGTGTGTGTGTGTGTGTGTGTGTGTGTGTGTGTGTGTGTGTGTGTGTGTGTGTGTGTGTGTGTGTGTGCGCGCGCGCGCACTAGTGTGTTTTGTTTATAACTTTGATCTCTAGCTCCTGGTCCACGGTGATCAAACTCTAGGATGTTTAATGTAATTTCTCATCTTGTGTTTCTAATCCTTTTTACGATTAATTAATGTGTGCTGTCTTCGTCTCCTCCGTCTCTCCTACCTCGCTTCATTCTCTTAATTTTTGCATTATTCTCTTCGTACAATATTCTCTTCATTATTTTACATTATTCATTTACTTTTTACAGTATGCTTTTGTTTCATCATCATCTTCATTCGTTCCAATGAACATTTTTATCATCGAACCTGCCAATACCCCTTATAATCTTGTATTTCGTTATCATGTCTCCTCTGTTCCTTTTCTACCAACAAGCTCTTGGGAGCTGACAAGCGTTAAACTTGTAATGGTTTTTGCCGAGCCAGAAGCGCCCATACCAGACCAATCGAGGCCAATGCTTATTATTTCCACTGAACGTCTTTATCACAATGCTTTTATTTTTATTAAAACACCGTATTTTTGACGCTGATGACAATGGCGTCGATATATCTGTATACTTACGTGTATATATGTAATATGAACCCCCAAGTATGCCTATAAATACCTGTATATGTACGTGCACATGTACAGCAGGTGGCTAATATGCTAGAGGTAAGGCTAGGTTAATATCGCTGGTGTTGTAAGTCAGTGTAATGGGCCGTGGGTATTGTGGGAGGTAATTGGGTTGTGGTCGTGGGTCGAGGCGGGGGTCGCCCTGTCCACTATACACGCCTGTCCCGGGATTATTACCTGAGCGTAATACTGCCTTGGTTGTTTATTGTCCACCTGTCTTGAAGGTGGGGTCACACACAGCATGGGAGAGGGAGAGACAGAGTGGGAGGGAGAGACTGATAGAGAGTGAGAGACACGTGAGAAAGCGTGAGAGTCATATGAGAGAGTAACTGACAAATGAGAAAGTGAGACACAATCTTCACAAAGTCCCCATAAAGCTTAACAAAGCAGCCATAAAGCTTCACAAAGCAGCCATGAAGCTTAACAAAGCACCAATAAAGCTTAACAAGGCACCCATAAAGCTTAACAAAGCACCCATAAAGCTTAACAAAGCACCCATAAAGCTTAACAAAGCACCCATAAAGCCTAACAAAGCACCCATAAAGCTGAACAAAGCACCCATAAAGCCTAACAAAGAACCCATAAAGCCTCATAAAGCCCCCATAAAGCCTAACAAAGCACCCATAAAGCCTCACAACGCTCCCATAAAGTCTCACAAAGCACCCATAAAGCCTCACAAAGCACCCATAAAGCTTAACAAAGCACCCATAAACCTTAACATAGCACCCATAAAGCCTCACAAAGCACCCATAAAGCTTCAGAAAGCACCCATAAAGACTAACAAAGCACCCATAAAGCCTCACAAAGCACCCATAAAGCTTAACAAAGCACCCATAAAGCCTAACAAAGCACCCATAAAGCCTCAAAAAGCACCCATAAAGCTTAACAAAGCACCCATAAAGCTTCATGGAGCACCCATAAAGCTTCAGAAAGCACCCATAAAGCTTCAGAAAGCACCCATAAAGCTTCAGAAAGCACCCATAAAGCTTAACAGAGCACCCATAAAGCTTCACGGAGCACCCATAAAGCTTCAGAAAGCACCCATAAAGCTTCACAAAGCACCCATAAAGCTTCACAGAGCACCCAAAAAGCTTCACAGAGCACCCATAAAGCTTCACGGAGCACCCATAAAGCTTCACAAAGCACCCATAAAGCTCAACAAAGCACCCATAAAGCTTCACGGAGCACCCATAAAGCTTTACAAAGCACCCATAGAGCTTCACAAAGCACCCATAAAGCTTCACAAAGCACCCATAAAGCTTCACAAAGGCCCCATAAAGCTTCACAAAGCACCCATAAAGCTTCACACAGCACCCATAAAGCTTCACAAAGCACCCATAAAGCTTCACAAAGCACCCGTAAAGCTTCACAAAGCACCCATAAAGCTTCACAAAGCACCCATAAAGCTTCACAAAGCACCCATAAAGCTTCACAAAGCACCCATGAAGCTTCACAAAGCACCCATAAAGCTTCACAAAGCACCCATAAAGCTTCACAAAGCACCCATAAAGCTTCACAAAGCACTCATAAAGCTTCACAAAGCCCCCATAAAGCTTCACAAAGCACCCATAAAGCTTCACAAAGCACCCATGAAGCTTCACAAAGTCCCCATAAAGCTTCACAAAGCCCCCCTAGAGCTTCACAAACCCCCCCATAAAGCTTCAAAAATCACCCAAAAAGCTTCACAAAGCACCCATAAAGCTTCACAAAGCACCCATAAAGCTTCACAACACACCCATAAAGCTTCACAACACACCCATAAAACTTCACAAAGCCTTCATAATGCTTCAAAAATTACCCGAAAAGCTTTACAAAGCCCCAATAAAGCTTCACAAAGCACCCATAAAGCTTAAAAAATCACCCAAAAAGCTTCACAGAAAACCCATAAAGCTTCACAGAGCACCCATAAAGCTTCACACAGCACCCATAAAACTTCACAAAGCCCCCATAAAGCTTCAAAAATCACCTAAAAAGTTTCACAAAGCACCCATAAAGCTTCACAAAGCACCCATAAAGCTTCACAAAGCACCCATAAAACCTCACAAAGCACCCATAAAGCTTCACAAAGCACCCATAAAGCTTCACAAAACACCCATAAAGCTTCACAAAACACCCATAAAGCTTCACAAAGCACCCATAAAGCACCCATAAAGCTTCACAAAGCACCCATAAAGCTTCACAAAGCACCCATAAAGCTTCACAAAACACCCATAAAGCTTCACAAAGCACCCATAAAGCTTCACAAAGCACCCATAAAGCTTCACAAAACACCCATAAAGCTTCACAAAGCACCCATAAAGCTTCATAAAGCACCCATAAAGCTTCACAAAACACCCATAAAGCTTCACAAAGCACCCATAAAGCTTCACAAAGCACCCATAAAGCTTCACAAAACACCCATAAAGCTTCACAAAGTACCCATAAAGCTTCACAAAGCACCCATAAAGCTTCACAAAGCACCCATAAAGCTTCACAAAACACCCATAAAGCTTCACAAAGCACCCATAAAGCTTCACAAAGCACCCATCAAGCTTCACAAAACACCAATAAAGCTTCACAAAACACCCATAAAGCTTCACAAAGCACCCATAAAGCTTCACAAAGCACCCATAAAGCTTCACAGTGCTCCCCTAGGTCATCAAGTTGCACACCCAAATTTGCATATTGCATCCGACGTCCCAAATCTTGCATAGAGGCTCCGAGGAACATCAGATTCACTCATTGGAGTAACAGGTTCTTAATTACTCCTGGCGCAGCAAATGGTTATATATATTACTTTAAACAATAACTTACTCACTGGACTACATACTGCATTATATGTAAAAAAGGACGAGAACATAAGACAACAAAAGTCAGGAGACAGTAGAGAACCAGGACAAAATACGACACTTTATGGGACATAATCACAGACTTGGACAAAAATATGGATAAGTGACAGTGTTCCTTTTATTGTTAATTGTTAATAAAGAAGAGACAGTGGATACCGCGAGTACATTTGACAGTTGATTACTGGCAATAAGAGAGACTGTTGCCAACTCTGCTATTACCTCTGCACCATCTGCTAGTATTACACAAATAATAATACCAACCAGTGTAAATAGCCACACTTGCATAGATTAAATCATAAATATATTTAAGTCTTAATGCAATAATCTTTTTTGTTCAAACATTTCGTTTGAACAAGTGAACTTATTTTAATATAAGGTACAAAAAAGTATAATTAATTCTACATTTTTCCCAAATATTTGGGTACAAACGAGTGTATCAGATCAAAGTGGTTCTGTACACACGTGCCTCCATAAACTGTTGGCAAATATAGACTATTTTAAGCTTAAACGAGCACCTATTAAATATAGAAAACACTGATACAAGCTTAAGCACTTATTAGATATAGAAAACACTGATATTAGCTTAGACAAGCCCCCATTAAATATATAAAACACTGATATAAGCTAAGACAAGCACCTGTCGGGAAGATAATTTTTTTTAGGCTTGCATTAATCGGCAAATAAAGATTACTTGTATGGTACCTGTGGCCCGTAGCCGGCTGCAGCCTGTGGCCCGTAGCCGGCTGCACCCTGTGGCCCGTAGCCGCATGCAGCCTGTGGCCCGTAGCCGGCTGCACCCTGTGGCCCGTAGCCAGCTGCAGCCTGTGGCCCGTAGCCGGCTGCACCCTGTGGCCCGTAGCCAGCTGCAGCCTGTGGCCCGTAGCCGGCTGCACCCTGTGGCCCGTAGCCAGCTGCAGCCTGTGGCCCGTAGCCGGCTGCACCCTGTGGCCCGTAGCCAGCTGCAGCCTGTGGCCCGTAGCCGGCTGCACCCAGTGGCCCGTAGCCAGCTGCAGCCTGTGGCCCGTAGCCGCCTGCAGCCTGTGGCCCGTAGCCAGCTGCAGCCTGTGGCCCGTAGCCGGCTGCACCCTGTGGCCCGTAGCCGCCTGCACCCTGTGGCCCGTAGCCAGCTGCAGCCTGTGGCCCGTAGCCGCCTGCACCCTGTGGCCCGTAGCCGGCTGCACCCTGTGGCCCGTAGCCGCCTGCACCCTGTGGCCCGTAGCCGCCTGCAGCCTGTGGCCCGTAGCCAGCTGCAGCCTGTGGCCCGTAGCCGCCTGCACCCTGTGGCCCGTAGCCGCCTGCACCCTGTGGCCCGTAGCCAGCTGCAGCCTGTGGCCCGTAGCCGCCTGCACCCTGTGGCCCGTAGCCGCCTGCACCCTGTGGCCCGTAGCCGGCTGCACCCTGTGGCCCGTAGCCGCCTGCACCCTGTGGCCCGTAGCCAGCTGCAGCCTGTGGCCCGTAGCCGCCTGCACCCTGTGGCCCGTAGCCAGCTGCAGCCTGTGGCCCGTAGCCGGCTGCACCCTGTGGCCCGTAGCCGCCTGCAGCCTGTGGCCCGTAGCCGCCTGCAGCCTGTGGCCCGTAGCCGGCTGCACCCTGTGGCCCGTAGCCGGCTGCACCCTGTGGCCCGTTGCCGGCTGCAGCCTGTGGCCCGTTGCCGGCTGCACCCTGTGGCCCGTAGCCGCCTGCAGCCTGTGGCCCGTAGCCTGCTGCAGCCTGTGGCCCGTAGCCTGCTGCAGCCAGTGGGCCGTAGCCGGCTGCAGCCTGTGGCCCGTAGCCTGCTGCAGCCTGTGGGCCGTAGCCGGCTGCAGCCTGTGGCCCGTAGCCGGCTGCAGCCTGTGGGCCGTAGCCGGCTGCAGCCTGTGGGCCGTAGCCTGCTGCAGCCTGTGGCCCGTAGCCGGCTGCAGCCTGTGGGCCGTAGCCGGCTGCAGCCTGTGGGCCGTAGCCGGGTGCAGCCTGTGGCCCGTAGCCTGCTGCAGCCTGTGGCCCGTAGCCGGCTGCAGCCTGTGGGCCGTAGCCTGCTGCAGCCTGTGGCCCGTAGCCTACTGCACCCTGTGGCCCGTAGCCGGCTGCAGCCTGTGGGCCGTAGCCGGCTGCAGCCTGTGGCCCGTAGCCTGCTGCAGCCTGTGGCCCGTAGCCGGCTGCAGCCTGTGGCCCGTAGCCGGCTGCAGCCTGTGGGCCGTAGCCGGCTGCAGCCTGTGGCCTGTAGCCTGCTGCAGCCTGTGGCCCGTAGCCGGCTGCAGCCTGTGGCCCGTAGCCGGCTGCAGCCTGTGGGCCGTAGCCGGCTGCAGCCTGTGGGCCGTAGCCGCCTGCAGCCTGTGGCCCGTAGCCTGCTGCAGCCTGTGGCCCGTAGCCGGCTGCAGCCTGTGGCCCGTAGCCTGCTGCAGCCTGTGGCCCGTAGCCGGCTGCAGCCTGTGGGCCGTAGCCGGCTGCACCCTGTGGCCCGTAGCCTGCTGCAGCCTGTGGCCCGTAGCCTGCTGCAGCCTGTGGCCCGTAGCCGGCTGCAGCCTGTGGGCCGTAGCCGGTTGCAGCCTGTGGGCCGTAGCCGGCTGCAGCCTGTGGCCCGTAGCCTGCTGCAGCCTGTGGCCCGTAAACTCTGGTTGTAGCTTTATAGTCCGTAGTCTTTAGCTCCATGCATTTAGCTAACGTCAATTTTGAGGTGCATCTGCCTAACCCAGAACGCACGATCATAGAAGACCATTTATTAAATCCATCGCTCATTTGCTCGAGGAATCGGTGTTATTAGCTTCACTGAATCAATGGAACTCCGACGCTGAAGTCGGCAGCGTCCAAAATACGACTCAATAAATGTGAGGACAGGCTCTATAGTCAGAATGAAAAGACCCAACCAAAACAGGGTCGACAAAACGGTGCCGAGACTGTGTTGAGACTCTTGCGACTCCCATCCACCAACCAGAGCAAACATGTTTGCTCACGCACGTATTTACTCGTATATCTTGGCAAATCCGAGCGCTGAAGGGTTATACAGAGTGGCTTTCGGTGTTTAAGACCCGGCTGTGGACGTTTACAAAGCCTTAGGGAAAACGAGAATATTGTTTCTCAGAGAAAATGATAATAGGGTTTTTAGGGGTAGCTTTCATGGTCGTTAATTTTCCCTCTGGATAGGTTTATCTTGTCCACAATGAAGAGGTTATTTTATATGTACTTATATAATTGAATTGCCTATTATATTTATTTGTAAATGGGACTCATAACTTATCCCTCAACTGTCTGCAGACAGTTTAAAAACAAAATTGTTTTGTTAAAAAAAAATAGATTACAATTAACTATCATCATCAGTAATTTTACCTCATTTCCTTGTTTTGATTGCATAAAAATATTCAGTAATTGTAGCTAGTTTGTTCGTGATTTACTGTTTTTCTACCTGTTTGTCCAAGGCTGGAAGGCAGACGCTTGGGGCTAATCTAACCCAACTTTGCTTTGCAGGGGAAATCTTGTGCGGTTCTGGGCCGTCATGGATGGCCTGTCACTCAATCGCACCCTTCCTCAGAGTGCAATTTTCATGTGTGAATGTGCTACATCTACGGATATGCTTTCCGTAGGCTTTTAGTATCACTGCTACCTTATTCACTCTTGTGTTGATGATATCCTCATAATGCACCCAGAGTCTGCCAGTGCAGCCTACTTATTACATGCCTCTGTATCACTAACCATCCTGTGTGATGGGGATTTTAGCGTCACGTAGCTAGCTTGCGCAAATGTACATGTACCAAAATGTGTTAGTAAAAAAAAATTGCACTAGCATGTGTCACGGGGGGTGGGCTGGAGCTCTGCTAGCAAGGGGACTGCTAGGGGCTCAGGAGACAGAGTACTCAGTCTCTCTGAATCATGTGACTCACCAGAGTCACTTGGTCCCACAGGAGAGGACCATGTATTACCCACCACCGCAGGTCTTCGCTCCCACCACTGAGGTGCCACTGATTCACCCTGGGAGCCCTTCAGTCAACCACGGAGAAACTGCTATTAGCATTTCCGGCCTAGACCCACGGAGGAGGGAAGGAAGACTCAGGCTTACCGTTAACAACACTCTCCCTGAGTCTTGCCTGTCAGACAAAAAGTTGCAGGAATTCCTTTCCCACCTGCGTTTCTCTTATCTTAACAAGGTCGCCTGCTGGGTTGATAATTCTACACCCCAGCAATGCAGTTCAGTGGGTGTATACTATATTGCCTGTTGCCAAAGTGTTGCTACTCCTACAGGATTGACACAAGACCGCCAGCTTAGGGTACACTTTCATAAATGTCTATGTCGCCCTATCACTCTCCAGCCACTAAGAAAGTTCTATATTAAAACTTACTGTTCACTGGGTGGGGCTATAATATCCCTCGAGTATGCTCATAGAGATAACATGGAGGCACACTTAAACACAATGGTAAAAATATGTGATATTTACTGACATAAGCTACATGATCATATATACAAGTAATAAAGATACAGGAATACATATAAAGAATAAATGATCTTGAGATCGTTGGTAACTCTTCACACACGATCTCTGGCAACTCCATCAGCTGGGCAGATTCAAAGGGGTCTCACACCCTCTCACAGAGGGGGGGGGGGGTGCTTCACCAACGTCGGCCACCGCCTCTCCACCTGCCTCATCGTCCACACACACTGTTCTCTTCGACAGTCCTGGACACAAGCTGCCCTGCAGCCTATCCTAATATTAATGCACCAATGTTATACTGAAACATGCATAGATAAATATCTTGGCCTATCTAGCCTACTCAACAAGGTGTAATGGGAGGGAAAATTAATCTACGGTCACTATTCCTGGCTCACGACGCCTGTCCCTCGATGGTGTGAGGTACCCCACTCTTCTTGAGCCGCTCCTTGACGATCCAGTAAGGTGTTGCAAGTCTTCAGGTGTCGTGAAGCCGTCGCGTCGTCGCCGTGCCACTCCCACAGATTCAGATATCAAAATCCTGGTCCAACCAGTGGTCACTGAGCTAATCACTGTGTACACACACTCTCGTTCCTTCCACAAGGCGTTGCTCCTTGTCTTAGGAACGGTGTCGTTCCTCTAACGTTCTCAGTGGGTATGACCCGATCATACCAGGCCTGCCCGCCACACCATCCAGACCCTCAAGGGTTAGGTACCTGGTTGATGGGGTTCTGGGAGTTCTTCTACTCCCCAAGCCCGGCCCGAGGCCAGGCTCGACTTGTGAGAGTTTGGTCCACCAGGCTGTTGCTTGGAGCGGCCCGCAGGGCCACATACCCACCACAGCTCGGCTGATCCGGAAGTTCTCTTAGAAAACCGTCCAGTTTTCTCTTCAAGATGTCCACGGTTGTTCCGGCAATATTTCTTATCGTCGCTGGGAGGACGTTGAACAACCACGGACCTCTGATGTTTATACAGTGCTCTCTGATTGTGTCTATGGCACCTCTGCTCTTTACTGGTTCAATCTTGCATTTTCTTCCATATCGTTCACTCCAGTACGTTGTTATTTTACTGTGTAGATTTGGACCTGACCCTCCAGTATTTTCCATGTGTATATTATTTGGTATCTCTCTCGTCTCCTTTCTAGAGAGTACATTTGGAGAGCTTTGAGACGATCCCAATAATTTAGGTGTTTTACCTCGTCTATGCGTGCCGTATATGTTCTCTGTATTCCCTCTATTTCAGCAATCTCTCCTGCTCTGAAGGGGGAAGTAAGTACTGAGCAGTACTCGAGACGGGTGTGTTTTGGGAAACTCCAAATTTATCACTGTTAAACATCATGCAATCGAAAACTTTGTTGACATCTGCTTGTTTTTTCAACGTCTTCAGCAGAGGTAATTTTCATTGACTTTAATAAGATAAAGTTCTGTCTTATTCTTTTTTTATTTTAATATGATAAAGTTATGTCTTAGTAAGTAAGAATTAATTGAGTGAACTGTATGTACTTGTAAACTGCCTGAAATTATCTCACACACTAATGGGAGGGACAATTGGTAGCCTAAACCACTTTGAGATGGCTCCTTCTAAACTACCAATTGTTTACCTTTTATTATTATAATATACCACATGTGGTGGTTCACTTATCATTACATCATACCACATATGGTGGTCTAATCTACTAGTAATAATTACTAATTATGACTACTAATACTGATATAAAAATGGCTTAGCTGAGCCTGTAGTGGGGGCCTGCTAAGGCGTGTAGGTGTTGCATCCAGATGGGTGTGGCCCTGTGCCTCTTTGTGCCACGTAATGGCGGCTGGTGGGAAGGACAAGGCTTGGCAAACAAGTAGTTAATAATGTGTATGAACCAACTGTCTGCATAGATTCTTGCTGCTCCTCTCACAATTTACCTGTATGGAATGCAAGGAATTAATCAAAGTTCCCTAAACATATCAATTACAGGTATGACATGAAGTGTGAGGACTGTAATGGAGTACACGTACATTGTGTTTTGTTTTCTCATGTATTATGACCGACTTATTTATAAATGAAAATATGTGCACACTATAATTTCAATTACAATACTTGATAAGCCGGATACGGTCGTTGTTGTGATGTTGATAGGCTGTGTTGCTGGTTGTTGACACATAATTGTGGTGTCTAGTTGTTTCACCAGCCCTGGAGCCAAGTACAGCGTATGGCTGTTTTGTTATAGTTCTGGAGCGGGAGCGTTGCTCTCAGTGGAGCCAACGCCCTGATGCTGGTTCATCTCTCAAAGTAATTTTACATTAACAAGGGAACCTAGCTACCTTACGGTGTTAATAATTATATTCAGTCTTATTGATAACTTTTTTGTTAAATCTAGATACAAAACTATTCTATAAACAATACTTAATAATGTAAATATACGATGACATCCATGACGTCACAGAGTCGATGACGTCACAGTCTCCCATTTTCCATCCTGAAGGGATTACAGACTAAGGGAGACTGTATTATATGTGTGTGTGTCGGATTCCCGTAATAATTCAGGGGGGGGGGGGGGAAATAACACGGGTCGAAGTCCCAGTAAGGACTGCGATCACTTTATTCTTCTCCTTCAGAATTATAGTGCTGCTTTAATTTGAGTTTACATTGTTGAGCAGCAGTCCGTTGGGGACATATGTCCCGTACTGGCGTATCGGGTGCTGGAAGTCGTTGCACGTCTTCTTTCCTGGCCAGTTCTAAAGGTACTAATTTCTCTAAAGTTTTGAGAGTAGTGTTGCCTCGGCATTTTACTTTCACTATTCTCAAGATGCCCTGGCTGTCTGGATGAACAGAGACTATTTGACCTATAGGCCACTCTGAGCGTGGTCCATCACTATCCACCAGAACTATGTCACCAGGGTTCAAGTTAATTCTGTTATAGGGATTGTTTGCCCCGTAATGATACTCCCTCAGAGCTGTAAGGTATTCACGAGTCCATACGTCATTCCACCGACTTATCACCCTTGAAAGATGTTTGAAACGTTGAACCAAATCACTCTCTTTGACATATGAAGGATCCTCTGGTTCCTCGTCCGTAAGGGACACAAGTGTTTTGAGAGGTCTCCCATACATCAGATGAGCTGGACTTAATGGTTCACGCTGCAAAACATCATCAGAGAGGTAGGTAAGTGGTCGGTTATTAACTCGTGCTTCTATCTCTATGATTACTGTTTGAAGCTCCTGTAGGTCAATCCTTTGGCGGTG